GTTTTAATGCTTTCATTGATTAGGCAACTAAGATTATGTGGGAGGAATATCATACTTGTATGAATGTTCTTTTGAAGTGTAATTTAAAAATGCTGTTGAAGAATTTTTGTATGTCAAATATATTCAAAGACTTTCTTTACTTATGTGAAGGATTCATCTTTAATTATTCCTCTCATTTTCATCTGGGTGGGTGGAAGGTAGTCCTCCAGGTCATGTATGTTTTTGAAATGAAGGGTCACCTAGGATCAAATAGGTGACTGTCTCTAGTTCTTGAGAGGTCACTGAGTACTTCATAAGAAGTAATTGGAGAAAACCTGGGGTTTTATGTAAGGATCTGGACATTTAGAAAGTAATCCCTTGATCAAGTCATGACCAAGCATGTACCATGGGAATAGCCACGGTTTCAGAACACAGCAGCATTGGGTTCACATCCCACTTTCTCTATGGAATTCATTATTTATCCTCTTTGATTTCCTCATTTTACAAATGAGGAAATCATTTAGAGCCCTGGCTGGTGTGGCTTGATGGTTAGAGTTTCAGCCCACACACCAAAGAGTTGCGAGTTGAATTCTCCCCAGGCCTGCTTAGGGCGCATGTGGGAAGCAACCAATCAATGTCTTTCTCACACTGATGTTTCTCTCTCTCTCTCTCTCTCTCTCTCCCCCCCCCCTCTCTCCCCCTGTATCTCTTCTCCTCCTTTCCACTCTCTCTTAAATTCAAGGGAAAAAATATCCTTGGGTGAAGTTTACAAAAAAAAAACAAAAAAAAAAAACAAAGCATAACATTTAGAATAATTTACTTGATGCACTTACTGTAAAGAATAAAAACAGAAGATGTCTCTAAAAGGCTTAGCAGAATATCTGATACATAAAAGTTGCTTAATAAATATCTACTCCATTTCAATGAATGAGAGATAAGGAAGATATGGAGGGGCAGGTGGAGTGAGGAATATAAGGGCTTTCCTTCAATCAGTCTGCTTGAAGGTGGAGTTGGTGCTACTGCCTTTTCTGCAGCTCAAGGGAGAAACTTGCTGTAAAGATGCCCAGGGAGACTTAGGATGTACCAAAACATAGCCCCCAAGAGGAAACGTGACTGACTGACAGTAAGGAGTAACCATACAAACATCACATAGATTGACAGGTTCTAACACCTGCTCTGCTGCTTTCTAACTGTGTGCCTTTGGTTAAGCTATTTAATTTCTCTGCCCTGTTTCCCTGGATGTAATCAAGTAGTGATAATGATACCTCTCATAGCGAGTGCAATATTCCCGTCTTTCATTCTGAGGCTGGATTCTCCCCTCTCGAGGAAGGACTCTTGTAGCCATGCTTATGTCTCATGAATATGATCCTTTGTTCTTATAGAAAGAGACTAGGGGGACCCAGCCCAGACACAATCAGCTTCTCTCTCCTGGGGGAGGACTAAATAACATGCAAGAAAGTACTTAACACAGTGCCTGGGGTGTAATGTGGATTCAGTAGTAAGTGAAGGCCAAAGTGAAGGCCACTTCCTGGTATCTACTCTAACTTACAAAATTTCAGTCCACAGTAACTGCCATGTGAAAAGTTGGTACAAGCCTCATGAGCAGTGCAGGGGGACATTTCCCCCAGGTTTTGCATTGACAGCTCAAACCAAGACACATCCCCATCTTTATACCTCTTCATGCCAGGGACATTTCTGAATGAAGCATACATTAAACAGCTTTCTCTGGAAAAGCCTAATAATTCTCATGCTAGAAATTGTAATGTCACGATCCGACTATAGGTAGATTCAGATCTAGGACTGCTTATTTTTAACAAGCCCAGCTAGGAAAAATACCATTTCAAACCACACCTCTTGCTCACGTGCACCTGAGTCTATAGCATTAGCCTCAGGAAAGGCCGTTCCCTTACACTGCCCTCAACGGGCCCAGCTCATTAAGGGTAGCAAAAGGTACGCGGCAAGGATTACATGTGATTTTCCTCATTAACTGGAGCAGGCACCATGGTGGGAATAAGATAGAGGAGTTCAGATCCTGTGAACTTAAGTCTCCAAGAAAGGAAATGTTCTCCTAAATAAATGATAAACAAAGAGATCCTTTTCTATGTTAGTATTAATCCCAACTATCAATCAATATGTTGAAGACAGAATTTTTAACCACCTATGCACTTCTCATTTTTCACAGTGCTTTTTTTCTTTCTCTTTTAACTTCCTATGTAAGAATTATTTCCTTTTCTCTCTTTGCTATACAAACCCGAAGGTCATTTTGATTTATATATTTTTATAATTTTCATCCTAATTGAATTTTCTCAGCGCAATGTACAGATGATTTTGTTTTCATGACAGAAAATTCATTTATAATTCATTCATAGTCTCTTTCTCTCCATTCCCCCACCTCCCCAACAGAAAGTTTCATAGTTTGGAATCAGCCAACAGTGTGATTAATGCACTTCAGAGACCTTCCCTAAAGTTTTCACACAAGCTGAAAAAATTCTATTTTGTTTCGGGAATACCAATAAGGACTTAGGGCAAAATACTATTCTACTAGAGCTATGCACTGTGCAGCTGAGTCATTTAAACACAGCACGACAACCCTACAAACACTCTCCCTTAATTTACATGTGTGTGTGAATATATGTGCATATATGTGTGTGTATGTATACGGATATGCATAAAATATGTAACCAGCAAAGTAGAATCCAGGTTTCTTTTCAAAAGGAGCAACCAGTTCAAATGCACAGCTGGGTATGCCAGAAAACACATAATTAGACAAATTGGATTTAAGAATTACATAAGGTCTCAACTGAGCCAGTGAATGAGAAGCTGAATGAAACGTTGTGATTGCTGCTCTGGTGCCTCGAAAGAACAGAATATGTGGATATGTGTGTTTTGGGCAAATAAAAGGCAATTACTGGGAGTTATGGAGTGTCGTTGGCATTCCATGAAAGTTAGACTATACAATATTTCACAGTGGGCTGTACTAGGAATAAAATGTTATCCATGGCTGAAAGGGGGAGTCTGTTAGAGATGTGCCTAAAAGAAAAGATTTGGCAAATACTATTTTGGAGTTATATTTTTTTGAGGGGGGTGGAAGAAAGTAGAAAACTTACATAATATGTAACTTTTCAATGGGTTTATAAACCCATCTTAATTATATGGGGATATATCACATATTATTTCCCCTCTAGAAGTGAATCTTCCAAGTATATTCTGGAGAAGATAACAAGCAAAGTCTTTAGTTTCAGAATTTTTCACTAAGAATACTTAAACCAATGACTACATATTGAAGATAAGCTCCCTTATAGGATTAGGAAGCTGAAACTAAATTACCACTTTTTCATATTTGCAAATAATCTTATTTGCAAATTTGTCTCAAGGCAACTGCATGAAAAGTAGACAGTCTTCTCTCTTAACAATCTCCCTGAAATAAATGGGACAAAAAAGCAATAGTCTGAGAGAGTCCTATTTTCTTAAAGAAAATATTCTGCATTAATTGACAAAAGTACCTGGGTCCCCAGGACTCCAGTGCTGATGGCATTCAGGGCTTGCCTCTCAGTGTGCAATTTAAAAATATATCCATAAAACCCTTGCCAGTAATACCTTCTTGTCTGCTGACGCTGTCTAACTATTCACATCTCTATTAGCAATCTTACATTTAGTTTGTTAAACTTTACAAAATATGTTTGAATATCTCTAATTTATAAAGCATGTGCTAGAGACAGTGGCAAGTACAAAGATGAGCAGAGATGAGTGGAAGGCCCTCCCTCAAATTTGTAATCTAGTGAGATAGCCAGACACTTGTGTTGTTGGCAACTTTGCCACGTATTTGATGATTGTGCATCAGGATTTTTCTTTTATTTTGATGAAGAAAATTATTTTGAAAAGCATATTTTGCTTGAGTTACCATTTGAAGTGTATTTTGCTCATGTTGTTTAAAAGGGAAATTCTTTGATGTCATAGGTATCTCTGTGTAAATATTATAGTGCTATTATAATAAAGTGTCACATAATGTTTTTAAGCAGATAATCAAATAACTGTTTCTGCATTATTATGGGTATAGTAGTTGGCAAAAAGTCCTGATTATAAATCAAATGAAGACCCTTAATGACAAGTTAAAAAAAATATCTATGTAATCTGATGAGGACATGTAACTACCAAGGTTTGTCATGTTTGACAAAACTTTAAATTCTTATCAACAGTTGTCTACCGAGTTATCAAATTACAAATGTCTTATTTGGATAAATAACCTTTACTCCCATTTATTTATATATGAGAAAGCTTTCTGAATTTGTATATTTGCTAAGGGTATAGTCACTGAGATACTGTAAGAGAAATGAAGGTTGTCAGAAGAACAACAAATGTGATTGTTCCAAAACTCTTTCCAAGAAGAGAAAAGGTGGTCTCAGACATCCTAAAAACTTTAAAAAATGCCGGCAAGGGCAGGAAGTCAGTATAACTTTCCCTAGGTTAAATGAAAGCTCTTAATCCTTGAATAGGTCTTCTAATACATCTGTGACACAGGAAGAATGTTTGCTGTAATTAGGTGAATGTTTATTGAATTAGGTACTTTATGTACTTTTCCAGACCAACAACTATTATCAATCCTTCCTTCATTCCAATGACAGACAACAGAGAAATGTCTTAAATAAAATACATTTCATTTGGTCTGATCATTAATAATTTGTGATATCATGTCTTAATCCAGAATTCATTAATATTAAAAAAAACCCCACAGAGAATGAAAGAAACAATCATTTGTAATAACCCATTTATAGTTAAAAATCATAGCTCATACTTGGTGTGCTCCTGACTTTAATTCCTACTAAATGAGTAATGTTAGAAATAGTGAATACTTTCTTTTGTGTTAGGACCAAAGAATTGCTAGTTCTGAACTGATAAAACTTTTCTCCAAACCTGAGTATTTACAGACAGAATTTCTGGTTTGTAAAAGCAAATTCAATGTTGATCTTGTCAGAGAGACTAGGAATAAGAACAAAAACACAAATAAGAAAATAGAGACTTACTGTATCACGTTGCCTGTTATCTTTTCCTGATATTATCAAGAAGTAGTTCCATGTCAATAGTAACAACAAAACCAGTGGTATCATGTAGAGCTCAAAGTTCCAGACAACAAAGAGAAAGAGCTGGAGGAGAGAGAAGAGAGAAAAAAAGATGAGTCAACTCTAAATTTCATTAAATGGACTCTCTTATCAATACTCCACTTCAAAAAACACAAAACAAAATGCTTTAGAATGGAAAGATTTATCTTGAAAACAAAGCCTTAAAACTTGTTAGGCGTTTTCCCAAAAGTAAAGTGACCCTGGAAAGTCACAGGTAAGAGTTTTACTTTGTTTAATTCCTATGAATAAAAAACTGATATCATTACATTGTCAATGAGGCTATTTCAATTTTTCTCCTTCAGTGAAATTATTGTTAGGTTGAACAAAATAAAGTAAAAAAAAAAAAAAAAGAAAAAAGAAAGGCAGCAAAATGATCTTTATATTGTCAGTATTGTCGGAAATAGCTGGTCTACCTGCCTTTTAATAAAAAATGAATCATTGTTTAATATCAGGGACTTAAAAAAAAATCTCACTTGGATAACACAATGTAACTAGCATAAAAGGCAGATGAAAATACCAAGTGTATATAAGAGAGCCTCAGAGATTTCATATTATGAATAAAAGCACTGCTGCCAACAAGTGTTAAAAAAAGGGTTGGCTTAACATTCAGTATTACCATAGAAATAAAAAAAGCTATTTAAAAAATAATAATAATTTTGCCAAAGAAAATTTGCATGAGTCTTTCTATTATCCTTTAAAACTCCCTATTTCTCTAAGTATATATATATATTTTTAATTGGGAGACAAATATTAGATTAAGAACTCACCTAGGTGGGCAGAAGGAACCATTGTAAGAGCATTTGCATTGCAAATATCCAGCATTGGCTATCAAGTATGACTCTCTCACATCCCGCCAGACTCTTACAGTCCTGAACAGATCATTGAAATTTTCTGGCTCTGTGGCAACTGCTGCTAAATTAAGGTCATGTTAAGTCAGATGGTTGTTAAAAGCCAGATTCTCCTCCTGATGCTAACTAGCCCTATAACTTTTTGGAAATATGCATATTTTCTCTTCAGTTTGTTCCTCTGTAAAATGGGGATGATAAGAGTATCTACCTGAGGTTGTGAGAATTAAATCGCTGAAACTTTTTAACGATTTAACACACTGCTTAGTAGCCAGTAAGCACTCAGAACATATTATTGTATAAGTGATATCAATACCTTACAAAACTCAAAAGTTAAGTATCGACTAAGGCCCTCAGGTAATGAATATTTTAATAGTGAAAACTAGAAAGTCATCTACCTGCTGGAGTTTAGCTGAACCATAGTATAACTGGGAATTTGAGCCAGATGGTAACACAAACACCTTGTGTTGATAGACCAGAAGGTGTAGGAGCTTTACCCTGAGAACACAAGTGTGGAGAACAGTAGCACAGGCCATTTGCAGTGTTCTTAATAAACCCAAGCCAAGTGTACAGCCTATTCAAATGACAGAGAAAGTGAAACTGTGTGGAGTGGGGGAGAGACCCCTGCTTTAAAAGCCAGAAGACAGGTTCTAAGCCTTAGAAGGTCACTCTGCCTCACTGTTTTTCATGTCTAAACGGAGGTGGATAGATCTAATCACCTCTAACATACTTCCTCTAATATTTAAAGTGGCTTTATGATATTACTGTATCATTAGAGTTTTCTAAATGTGACATTGAATTTTAAAAATTATATATTTTACTGAATTATTTGATATTCATAACCCAGATAGATACCAAAAGCATAAATAATGGTTTAGTAACCCAAGAAATGAATTTTGGACAGAATTACATGGTAACTATAGATTCAAGTTCCTGAGTAAAAAAATTTTGAATATATAATTTATTGAACATGAGCCATTTTTTTCTTTCACCAAAAAAGTAAAACACCTTCCAGAAAAGAAGATATTTCCCTTTAATTTTTTGAAATTTATACACTATATATACAGATGATACAAAATATAATTGATGACTATGATTATTCCATTGAAATATATTTTCAAAAGATAATCCTTTATTCAGGTAGTGAAGCAAGGCAAATTTGGCAGACATCAACACATGCGAAAGGAAAATTATTTTTGGCTAGAATTCATACTAATTCTTTACATATTTATCTGTAAAATTTTAAATTTAGATAATCACTAGAGTATAAGCTCTTATGGGTAGGGAAATATACATTTTGTTCCCAGTTCTATCCCCAGAGCCTAGACCAGTGCTTGAGGCACAATGGGTGTTCAATCTATACATATCAGCTAAATTAATGAATGAATGAATACTGGGTTCTCAAGTCATTTAACATAAGTCTTCCTAATTATTTGTATTAGTAAATGTATTACAGAGCCATTGTATAAATCCAAGTGACTTCAGAAAAATGTATAAAGAATTACAACCTGGAATGCCACTAACAAATTTCTCTCTGAGGTACATAGGTAGAAGTACCTTGATACTGGTAGAAAGATTCTCCTTCCATCCTATCAACGCAGTCATGAATTGTTTGTGTATTATGGTATGACCACAATCTTTCCTACATGGCTGCCTTTGCTGAGGACATTCACGTGACCCAGTGTGTTCTGGCCTCATATGATTCCATTGCTCAATATGACCAACTGTAATAATTTTTAACCTGGTGAGCATATTATATCCCCCTTGTAATATCTCCTCATTGGTGGGAGAGTCCTGTTGTTGCTCAGAATAAACTTTCTTGTAGTGTCCATGTATTGATGTTAGTTGTAGGCTAGATGTTGCATAGAACAAACTTTTTAGATGATAATCTAGTAAGTAATCGAGACATCTGTCATGCTGTTTTCTTCTCTAGGCTCATTCAACATCACCAGTTGCTTCAAGCACCAGTTACAAGGTGTGGTTTCTAGCAGTCTCCATGGCAGACATCTTCTCACCACATCCAAATCAATACATCAATAGAAACTTTCTTAAAACATAGCACTCAGAATGGACACAACACTTCTCATGAATAGCTATGATTATTGATACACCCTCACAACATGAGCACCAGAACTCAAGATGGAGAAAAATATAGGAGAGAGACAAAGGAAGATACTTCATTATTAGTTTTATGGATAGTGGAAGTGCAAAAATAGTCTGTTTTAATATTGTGTATTCTTTAAGAATCTAATTTTTGGGTAACTAAGTAAGAAGCCTGTAATGTTGAAAATATCTTTAAAAACAAAACAAAACAAGGGTATACTCTGAAAATGATAAGATATTGAAGAAATTGAACAAGATACAACTAAATGAAAGAATATACCTTGGTTATGGATTAGAAAGATTAATATTGTTCAAATGTCTTTATTACCTAAAGTAACTCACAGATTCAATTCAACACCTATTAAAACACCAATGGCATTCTTCTCAGAATTAGAACAACTAATCCTATAATGTATACAGAACCACAAAACACTTTGAATAGCCAAAGAAATCTTAAGAAAGAACAGAGTGGGAGGTATCATACAAGCTAATATGAAACTATACTACAAAACTACAATAATCATAACAGTATGGTGTTGGCAAAAACAAAGAAACAAAAACGAAAAACAGGTATATTGATCAATGGAATAGAATAGAAAGCCCAGAAATAAATCATCACTTACATGGTCAATTAATCTATGACAAAAGAGGCAAAGATACACAATGGGGTAAAGACAGTCTTTTCACTAAGTGGTAGTGGGAAAACTAGACAGATAATTGCAACAAAATGAAATTGGACCACTTTCCTACACCATTTACATATGTGTGTGTGTGTGTGTGCGCATAAACTCTAAATGGATTAAATATATAAATGTTAGACCTATAACTATAGAAGGAAGCATAGGCAGTAAACGCTGACATTAGCATTATCTTTTTGGATATCTCTCCTCAAGCAAGGAAAATAAAATAAAAAATAAATAAATGAGGCTAAATCAAACTAAAAATTTTCCACAATGAAGAAAACCACCAACAAAATGAAAAGACAACCTACTGAATAGGAGAAGATATTTATCAATGATACATCTGATGATGGATGAATATCCAAAAAAAAAAAAAAGAACTCATAAAGCTTAACATGAAAGGAAAAAACAACAACAATTCAATAAAAAAATGGACAGAGGACCTAAATAGACATTTCTCATAAGAGGATATACAGATAGCGAACAAACATTTAAAAATATGCTCAGTATCACTAATCATCAGGGAAGTGCAAATGCAAATTACAATGAAATATCACCTCACACCTGTCAGAATGGCTATCATTAATAAATCAGCAAACAGTGTTGGTGAAGAAGTGGAGACAAGGGAACTTTGTGCACTGTTGGTAAGATTGTACATTAGTGCAGCCACTATGGAATACAGTATGGAGAGTTTTCACAAATTAAAAATTGAGCTGCTTTATGAGCCAATGAGTCTACTTCTGGGTATATATTGGAAGAAAACAAAAACACTAATTTGAAAAGACATATGCATCCCACCTATGTTTATTGTAGCATTAATAGTGATAGTATAGATATGGAAGCAACCTAGATATCCATCAGTAGACAGATGGATAAAGATCTGGCATACATATACAGTAGATTATTATTCAGCAATAAGAAAGAATGAAATCTATTCACCTGTGATGATATGGATGGACCTAGAGGGTATTTTGCTAACTAAAATAATATCAGACAAAAAACAAATACAGCATGATCTCAGTTATATGGGGTGTCTATAAAACAAAACAGAAGTAGACTCATAGATACAGAGAACAAGCTTATGGTTACCAAAGGGGAGGTGATAAGGAGATGGGAATAAAAAATTAATAAAGCAATAAATAAATAAATAAGAAATCTTTGAATAAGCTCTAAATGCAAAAGCATTTATTTTTTCTTTCTAAAAAATAAAACTACAGAGTTCAAAAGTTAATATGTTAATAATAAAATGTATATATTGAACACTGACTATGTGCTGTACAATACTGGGGGTTCAAATTAAGATATGACACGGTCTCTGGACTCAATTGCTAAGAGTCACTAAAAAAAAAAAAAAAGCAATCATTCACTATAGTATTAGTGATGTTTCTAACACTTG